GCGCGTTCGAATACCAGGAGTGAGAATGCTCGCTCCCGTTCATGGATTTTACATGAGAGACAAATATACTTGTCGGAAATACCGAGAATATTCCGTTCCGTGTGCTCGTGTAATAGTAAGAATGGTGAGACCGAGAATGCTGCGTTTCGGAGTGGGAAGATAGAAGGAACGAATGACAAGTATGCTTGTCGGAGACTGAGAATGCTCCGTCCCGGTTTGCTCGTATCGTTAGCAAGGAAGCGTTGAGACTGAGACTGCTCTATCTCGGAGAAGCGAGAGCCAAGTATGTTTGACAGAGACTGAGAATGCTTTGTCCCGATTTTCTCTTTGGCAGAGGGATGATATCTGGTGTTGAATATGCTCAGCGGAGATCAGGAATGCCTGGTCTCGATTTTCGATATCAGTCGAAGATGAAAACAGGTCGAAGAATCGAATCGGTCTGGTGTTGTATCGGGAATCGGCAGGGTTTATATACCCGTCGCGTTTTATTATTTTGCAACTTACAAAATAGCGCAAGTCGTTGGCGGTATTTGACACGCACGTGACGGTGCGTTCGATTTTACGGGCGCGTGCGTCGGTCAGTGTGTTCGGTAACGGGCGCGGAGCCCGGTCGCACTTACAATTAGAATGGTGCGCGGAAGACGTATCGTTACAAAATTTTGCACATTGCATAACATAAATCAAGTTTGCATAGCATACATTATTATTTACAAGACATAATTCTTTTTATTCATTCTAATCATATTTCTCGATGATAAATCCATAGCATAAATTCGATATGTGCAACTTTCTGATACGTTTTGAATAATGCTAACGCTGAGAGAGAGAAAGAGAGAGAGAGAAAGCATTTTTTTTTCAAATTTCAACATTTGTTCAATTTTTTTCCATTAAAATTAAATTACAATTTCACAATTCTTTATACATTTATCTCAAAAAACTGTAATAGTCACCATGAAAAAAAATCTTACAGCTATTTGGCAAATTTCTTTTTAAATGGATATTTAAAATTACAAAAAGCATAAAGAATAAATTTTCTTTGTTATTTTATATTAATATTTCTTGGACTAAAATGAAAAAACGAAAAATTGCCGAAAAATTTTTACGTTATTCCCATTCATTTATTATCATATCTATATATTCTTAAAAAAAGATTTACAATCATACCGTTCGATAAAGCAAAATTTCAGTTTTCAGAATCTTTTATTTTAATTACGATAAATTTTAACGGAATTATGAATCAAAGTCAAAATGCTCATTTTTATATTTAATCCATGATAACTCGTAATAATAAAAAATTGTAGATATTTAAAGAAATGATCTTATGAAAAAATTTCAAGCTTTCACATTAAAAAATTAAACATTTTTACAATTTTTTATATATATATCACAGATTCAAAAGAAAAAAATTTCCCATTTCTTCTCGCTCATAGTTTTCTATGTATAAAAGTTTTTTATGTATAAAAATTATCAAATTCACAGAAACTCAAAAAATATAGTAATCTCTCAAAAATAAAATCTCTCATAATAATTTTAAGCTTGCAAATCCTTTTTTTTGACTTAAATTTCGTTCATTTTTAATAAAATCACAACTGTGTGAAGTTTGCTTATTTAAAAAAAAAAAAATTAAGTGTTCCTCTAATTTTTGTGAGTTTATCTTATCTGTCAGAAAAATTGTAATTGTATATATATTAAAATCTATATATGTAATATTACTATATGGCTAGTGGAGCAGTTTTCCTATAAACGAGAGTAAACCCAACACTGAAGGAAGATGGATAGCTATTAGCTCTATAGAAAAGAGTGGGAACAATGTTTAATAATCGTTAATGCGCAAGCGTGATGACAAAATAAACAGAATTTTTTTTATTAAAAGAACTAAGGCTCGATTGCACGAACATTATTTTGAATTTTAAATGACATTTAATATATAATATGTGTCATGTATTTTATGTATTAAATCTCGCTTAAAGCCCAAATAATATTGGTGCAACCGGGTCTAAGGTAATTGATAATTAATAAAGAAAAAATAAATATGGAAAGCATCTATAATAGTTTCATTTTTTTACTTACTAATAATAATAAAATAAAATAATAATAATAAATAATAATAAAACTCAAATTCATAATTCAATTTCTTTTTTTTATTTACAAAAATGACAATGTTCAAATATACAAAATTATTGATTTTTATACAAAATTAGCTTAATGTATTTACTTCGTAAATATTCACTTTTGTTTTGCTTCTGAAAATAATCGAATATTTAAATATATCATTATAATAAATTTCGTTATAATAAATATCGTTAATAGTAAGTGGGGCACTATGGCGCGTCAAAACAAACCTCCACTACCTTCCCACTGGCGCCAGGGGCGTGGCTCCCGACGATCAAAAACTGGCAGCCACATGGAAATGGAGCGTTCTGATTGGTCGGTGGGGATGGGAGATGATAATTAGGTAATTAGTGGGAGCGTTCTAATTGGTTGGTCCGTAGCTGCCCGATGCGTGATTGGCTCTACCCATAGTGCCCCGTGTGTGCGATTGGTTGTCGAAATGCTAGACGAGGTAGGGGAAGGGTGAGAAAGCGTCTGGGACCGATCGGAGTCCGAAAACAAAATGGCGACTGCGAAAAGAAATATGGCGGGTCTGTAAAAGAAATATACTTGTCGAGAGTGGAATGCGATTTTTTGTTCACGTGGGATGGAGCGAAGAGAAGAAAACCAATTTTTTGTGGAATTTTACTGATTGTATACGGGATATGAAGAATCCCGTTTTTCTTAGGGCGAAAGGTTTCTCGGCGCCTCATAGTTGGTGAATTTAGATAAATTTCCCGACTCGTTTGACATTTTTTGTATGGAGGAAATATAGGTTTATAGAGTATATAGATTTTGAAGACGTGAGGTTTGCCGAAGTGTAATAACCGTTAGAATTATTCTGCGTGTACGGTATTTGGGGAGGAAAACAGGAACGGACAGGTTCGCACTAGAGGTTTCTGACGACGACGAACTTGGAGTTATACAAAGGTTTTATCCTATCCACAAACACGTGGGTTGAAAAAATTTTCTTTCGACACGACGATAACTATACTAACGCAAGCATACTGAAGGGCGAGAGAGAAAGAGAAAGAGAAATGTGCGGGAGTCGGGAAAGCATAGAGGTACTAGAGGACAATAGGAAAACACGCACGCGCAGGCTCGCGTAAATGACTTTCAAAAAAGAGGAGTTGTGAAAAATTTAGGATAAAGGGAGAAATAAAGAAACGACGTAAATTTGAATTTATGTTATCAAGTATAAGTTGAATTTATTTTCGCATATATATGAATATGTTTTGTTACAGAGTTATTCTTCTTGTTACAAAATTAAATACACGATTCGGTTATCTTATAAAAATTATAACTCACGATTCAATAAAATTATAGTAGTAATTTCTTTAAATTTTAATGTAATTAATTCTAAAAACACAATATCGAAATATGTATCAAAAAATAGTAAATTATTTATTTGCGTTCTCACGGCAAGTTCGATATCCTTTTGGTTGCCTCGGACAGCGAGTTTGACGATATCGGCGTCGATGTAATTGTTAGGTAGACATAGTTCTCTTTGATCAAATAACGTGTGCTCGTTAACAGTATCGACGACGGATGCTAGCTAGTTTATACGAGCATCGACACATTTGATGATATTCTCCATTCTTTGAAAAATAGTTGCATTACAACTGCGACGGAATAAGTTTTCCTTTTTTTCGACGGAGGTTGTTCCTCCGTTTTCGAGTCTGCTTGCGTATTTCCAGTACTGTTTTCTTTAGAAAAATTTTCATTTTCCTTATACATCACCAATACAGCTTTCGCTCCGTAGGCAGAGGTGAAGTTGATGAATATGTTTGCAAATGTGATGGGATTTACTTTGCTTTTGCTGCTTCCGTTAAAATATGAGCGCATGTACCGAATACTGTCTTGAAATTGCTGCCACGTGTCCGGATCAAAGCTGATTCCTTCTGCAGAATTACCACTCAATTTAACGACAGGTTCGAAGATCCTCTCCTTCCTAGATAATTGTAATCCCACGTGTAATTTCTTCGTATGAAAGGTATTCAGAGGGTACGTCGTAGAAAGCAGCAAATTTTGTTCCGCATTTTGCACAATTCTCGAATATCTTGTGAATATTTTCTAGTTTAGCGGGATTCGCAGCTTCTTGTTGTCCGGGCATATTACTCGATGAGAGAATTTTGAACAAAATGTCCACTTTTAACAAACGAAAACTCGGAGGGATATTTTCGAAGTAGACGCTTCGAATGTCGATACTCGAGTGAAGCAGTGTAGCGATACAACATTACTTACTTATATCGCATCTTCCCCTCCCTTTGAAATAAACAAAAAAGTAGTTTTATAAATAAGTTTTATAAATAATATACAGTTAAACCGAAGATTCTAGAAGAAACGCGTATTTTCGCTTTGTCTCTGCTTTTTTCAAGGAAAAACCTTCCTCGAATAACAGAATTATTACAGATTCGATCAGATTCGAACACGCGTGAATTTTGGATGTTAGAAGAGAAAAATTTTAAATAAATAAATTATTGAACATTCAAGTAAACTATAATTTTACGTTGCTCTTTTTCAACAAGGAAAGAATTTTCTCGAATAAAGCAAATATTACAGGTTCGATCACGTTCGAACGTGTTAGGGTATTAGATGAGAAAATTTTATAAAAATCATCGTAAAATTATGCAAAAACTATTTCAAGAAGAAGAAGAAAGTATCGAAATATATAATAGAAGTACGAGTAAGAAATATTTTATAAATGTTTAAAATTTGTTAACGTTTAATTTGTTAAATGTTTAAAAATTTGAAGAAGCGAGAACTTTCCTCAAATTTAAAAAATAACTATTAAAAATAACTATTTATTTGGACGTGCTATATATCTGGCGCCGTTTATAACAAAAAAAACGCCGTTAGTAAACAAAAAAAAGTGAAATCGAAAAAGGGTCAAGCTACAAGTAATATAAATTTTTCAAGAAAAAATGATTTGTTACTTGGACTGAGATAGCATTCCTACCCCTTACCCTCTCGAAACTACAGGATAATTCTACAATTTTTTATAAATCTCTTTTGGAAAAGATTTTCCCTATATATAGTGCGTTTTGCGCTATCTAAAACTATTTCTGAGTTGAATTCTTTCGTGCTTCATCTCGGTTTCGTCACGCGAGTTTTAAAAGTTTCGAATTATTTTACGCGAATAAAGATGCGAAAAATGGGCAGTGAAGTGATTAAAAGAAGCATAAAGTTAGCATCGATGTTGGATATTCGCATAAACGCGGAGAAATTTTTAACTCAAATATCTAACGTTTCGCTTGATGCCAACTATCTGCTTTTCACACGTCTTTCATGCGAATGTTCTGATACAATATTGGGAGTATTGTATCAGCTAGGATATTTTGGTACCGACGCGCGTTTACTCCGGATTGCCGGAGAAATAATTGAAACGCGACGTGCGGTTGGACACGAGGAGGAGGATGTGGGTGGACACATCCAAAATCTCCTCTCTCACCTCCACAATGGTAAGTGACTCTATTATAAATTTTATAAAAGTAACTCATATATCGAACTCGCGATTTAGCTAATTTTTAATAATAAATTATAGTAAGAAATGCACGTCAAAGAATCACTGCGGTGGTGAATCCGCTCACGCAAATTCGAAGGCGACGCGCGAAGGATGAGATAGAAGCAGGTCCAGCACGTAAGCAATATTATTAAAAACTAGACAGGAGTAATGTTAAAAAAATAAAAATTTTTCAAGATTAAAATATTAAATGCTTTTAGGAAGGGCACGTATTGAACTTACGCAGGAATTAGAGGAGGAGGCGCCAGAAATTATTCAGCTCTCATCTGGTAGGTTTGCATTTTTAAATAAATAATTTTTAAAACAAATAGTAAAAAATTAGAAAATCTTAATACAACTTTGTTTTTAGATACGGAAGTAAGTACCCCCATCAGCGAGTGTTTTCACCCGGTAAGTCGATAGAGAGAAAATATTAATTAAAATACATAATATCTTTATTGATTAAGGACATAATATTATTATCGAAAATAAAAATTTACGATATATTTTTTCTTAGAATACGACCATATGTACTCCCCCGTAGTCCCGGGAGAGAGAATTTGGAGCGATGAAAAAGGGGAAGAAGAAGAAGAAGAGAGAGAGAA